TTAGTTTAGTAGGTTTGGGTGTAAATTGTTAAGCAATAGACTCAGGGATCGAATCTGCCTAACCCTAAGTTAGCTTCTTTCGACAAGGAACTCTACTTTTGTTTCACCCGGTTTCGGTCTGCCGGGACTTGAACCCGTGACCTCCATGTTCGGGGTTAGTTAGAGGTTAGTTGAGCCTAGGTCCCGGTGTCGGGGCAAATACCCTGACAAGGGTATTTGTCGGGGATTTTAATTGTCATTTGTCATCTCCTCGATACTGAGCATTTGAACTCTGGCCTTAGTTTTTTTTTTTTTTTTTTTTTTTTTAATTGTGGCTTGGGGTTAGTTGGAGTTAGAGGTCTGAAGTTGGGGGAGGGGTGATTCTTGTGCTAGGAAGGAAAATGCACTGTGGCTGGGGAGAAGGAGCGGAGAATACCCTTGGGAGCTAGGCTACCAGCCGGGCCGCTCGGGTCACCCTATTTTCCCGGGCCGCCCGACCGTGCAAGGACCAAGGAAGGTCCCAGCCAAAAAGAAAATAAAAAAAAATCCAAAATCTCCGAACAAAAACTATGTTATGCAGAAATATAAACTGAACAACTTTTGCCACAGGGTCACACCGAAATTCTTTACCAAATTTACAATAAAATTTTAAATTAAAAAATATATATATTTTTTATTCTTTTTATTTCTTTTTTGCCCGGTCGGGCAAGTGGACCCGGGCCACTCTGGTAGCCTAGCTTGGGAGTGATTGGCTGTCTTTTTTTTTTGCCAACAATATGTGGGTCTAGGGGCATGTGGTTTATATTTATAATTTAATTAGAATTCATGTCCTTGACATGCTTTCACGCTGTACAAGAGTCCCAGATCTCTGTCCTCGTCCCACCCGTCCCCCAACTCCCAGGTCCCAGTCCCGAGTCCTAGGTCCCCCAAGTCCCAGGTCCGAGTCTCGAGTCCCAGGTTCTAATCCCGAATCCCATTTCGTGTTCTATTTGTGGTTTCAGCCACTTGTACTATGTGCACGTCCCGAGTCCCATGTCCCAGTCCCGAGTCCCAGTAGTTTTTTTTTTTTTTTTTTTTTTTTTTTTTTTGCTGCTGTCGTTTTCGTACAACTACAGTAGGACGCGCATGCGGGTTTGACGTACATGGTCAGCCGGCCTCTGCGTTGGCGCGCCGAGTTGGGGCATCGCCACACAACTCTCGAAATGTGCACACAATGAGAGTGAACTTCCTGCTAGAACATGGCCAGATGCGCCCGCGTTATTTTTGTCTTTTCACATTCCTCTCGCGGTGTGGTGTGGTGTGGTGTGGCGACGCCCTTTTATTTTCGACCCTCGCGATGCTACACAACACTGCACATGCATTTGGACGATGTCGTGCATTCGGGGACGAGTGCAACATTCTGAATGTACCCGTCACAGAATCCGTCCAAATGCACATATACTGTGTCGCCGATTCACATGCCGCAATGTGGAGGGAAAGGGTGGGGACGCTACCCGCTTTATTATTATTATTTTTTTTGAGCTACCCGCCTTTTTCCCATGTGCATTCCCAACGTTTCATCGATCGAACCAACAACAACAACACCAACTGGCCTTGCTCGGTTGGTTACACCCTTGCGCTGTTGAAATACAGACCTGAGTTCGAACTCCAGAAGAGTGAAGTACTACAAAATTTCTGAATTACCTGGGGCTGCTCAGTCAATTCTGAATTACCTGCGGCTGCTCAGTCAATTCTGAATTACCTGGAGCCGGGGCTAGGTCCCCACTTGCACGAATTAAGAGATACTGACCGCAGATCGCAAAGATCAACGGCCGAAATCTCCTAATTTGCCCAAGCGGGACCTTGCCCTGGGTCACAGTTCCCACGATGAAAGGGCGCTATAAAATGAATGAAAATCAATACCAACCTCTTGCTACAACGCATCCAAATGGCCACTCCACCCCCCCTCTTCCCCGCACACAACGCGCCCACATCATGACCGTATCGGACCCGAAAGATGATCCACATTCATAATCAAAATACGGACATACGATACACATACATCGTAATCAGTAAAAGTGCGTTACAGCGACCTCTCCGAATTGGGGTGACGCCGGAAGTGGCGCACGAGCGCGGAGACTGTCTCCGATCGCTCTTTGGCAGTCCGCGAACTCCGGTACCGAAAAAAAAGCGATCAGTCAGTGGCGCCCGATCACAAGAACCTCATTTTGGCTGCACCGCACCGGAAAGATGGCTTGTATACACACGCATTATCAGTGTGCATTGTGTTCGGGGGAAGACGGGTGGGGATGATATAATAGCAAGTAGGGTTTCAGATATATATTATATACTAAAGGTCCGGTGATAATGGCGATCGCCGGCCTGAAAGGCCGTCCTGTCCAGATTTGACAGGTAATTAGCCTTTAAAAAAAAACAAAAAAAAAAGAAAGATCGCCGGCCTATGGAAGCCGGGATAGGAGGGAGTGCCACAGTTCCTGGAGGAGCCAAGGCTCCACTGCCTCGAGTTAGGGGCGGCTCGGTTTCGATCTGGAGTATTCTTGTTTCTGTCAGTCTGTACTTCCAGGGGGTTGGTCCCACCCCGGGGGTAGGTCCCACTTGGACGAATTAAGAGATACTGACCGTAGATAGCGAAAATCAACGGCCCAAATCTCCTAATTTGCGCAAGTGGGACCTTGCCCCCTTACGCGAAACTGGGTAATGCTCCCAGCCATCCGGGTAGACTGTGAGGACCCCGGCCTCAACCGTTTGATCAGAATGTAAGCCTTGGGCCCTGGGCCCGCGTGTTCTTCGAAAAAAAAATATATATATCGGCCTCGACCTGTCGACCTGTCATCGTCGAACTGACCGGCCCCAAGTAATTCACGAATTTCATTCGTTCTACTTCGACATCGATTCGAACCTGAGCGCTCAAATTTCGACCCTACTTCTTCATGGTTGGACCTCGCCGCGGGTCTGCAGAGCAGCTCTAATACCCTGGTATGACCTGGGGCTATGTAGGTCCCACTTGCACGAATCAAGAGATAACAGCCGTAGATGACAAACATCAACGGGGAAGAGCTCTTAATCGGTGCGAGTGGGACGTTGGCCCTGGTTTCGAACTAGGGCCCGGAATTCAGCACCAGCATTTTCGAGACTATGGTGGCGGACCGGAGTGCTTCCTGCCTGCTCCCTTTTGTTTCACCCGAAAACAACGGTAGGTACGTACGTTCGTTATTCCAGTACTGTACTTAGATAATTTAGCGCAACTATAACTTGTTTTAGCGACTCTCATGAAGTTAACCCTCTAGATGGGTAAACTACGCGAGAGTCGCAGAAACGAGTTATAATTGCACAACGGGCCAAGAATACGGTTTCGAATCGGAGTTGGGGCAAAAATGTATACAACCCGACTTTCAGTCCAGGTACGGTGCCCGAAGTGCACTTGCAAACTGTGTATTTTGCCCCATAGTGCAATAATTATAACTCGTTTTTGTGACTCTACTGAGGAAGTTACCACTTTCGTTATTGCAATAACTATAACTCGTTTTTGTGACTTTTTTATTAAAAAAAAAAAAAAGTTACCACTTTCCAAAAACAGCTTCAAGCACTGTGCGTTGTATTCGGGCGAACAAAAGCGCGTCTTCAATCCGAACCTTACGGGGGGGGGGGGGGGGCTATAACCCCGCTTTCCTTCCAGTGGAGTTCGAACTCACGTGTCTATTTCAACAGTTCGAGCTACCGTCTTCACCCGAATAGAACGCCCGGTCATTATAGCCGTACCTGGACTGAAAATTGCACCAGATACGGCTATACTGACCGGGCGTTCTATTCGGGTGAAGACGGTAGGTAGGCCTGTTGGTGCTAACCCTTTTTTTTATGAAAGGAAGCCATGCGTGGAAAACAGAAAACTGAGTAATGGCCCCAGGATGGTTAAAATCAGTGATGTTACTCCGGGGGCAAGGTCCCACTTGCACGGATTACGAGATCCTGACCGTTGATCTGTGCTATCTACGGTCAATCTCTCTTATTCCGTGCAAGTGGGACCTTGGCCCGGGTTGTTTGTGGAGGATTCCCGGCCTCCCCAATTTCGGTAATGAATGATCTCCTCTTTGTAGTTAAAAAAAAAAAAAAACAAAAAAAAAAACAGAAAACTGTGGAGTGTCAGGGCATATACTCACATCAGGCACTCGTAATCGCAGAACTGCAAAATCAGCGGCCAGATGCAGTCCTAAACCGGGGAGTCGATCTGGTCGCTGATCTGATGGCGCTACTGCGCGCCGATTACAAGGAGGTACCGGTAGTGTGACTTTTATTGAACTCTCAGACAAGTATAGTTTATCGATGCTGAAATTCATTTCAATTGGGGGATCGTCTCTTTGGGCCTCGGTCCACTACTCTCGAAATTTGCAAAATGAGACAGCATAATGCGCTAGAACACAGAAAAATACATTTTGCCATATTGTTTGTCTTTCGTGCATGTGGAGAGTAGCGGAGCGAGGCCCTCCTCAACAAACGCGGAGAAATTCTTACATGCAGGGGGCCAAGTCCCAACTAGGTGGCGGTCCGTGGGACTTTCTGTGTGTCATTCATGTGGTTCCAAGTGCGACTTTCTGTGTGTCATTCATGTGGTTCCAAGAGGTGGAGTCGAACATGGGTCTGTATTACAAAAATTCCTGAGTGTACCAACTAAGCTACCTTCTTCCACCCCGAAGACAACGTACGGTCACTCACGTCTTCAATAGACTGAAAGGTGCTGCCCCAAATACAGATATAATGACCGTACATTGTATTCAGGGGAACAACGTGGGCTCATTGGCTGGCTCTCATAGTGTTGCTGCATTCTATTCGAGATAGAACAAACAACCAAAAAAACAAACACAGCAAAAGCCAAAGAAAAAGTGTGTCGATCGACCTAAGGTTCGAAGCCGCGCTGCTGCACAGGCTTTCGAACCATGTGTCGAGCACACGTCGGTGAAAAAAAGAAAGCACCGGAGGGCAGCACCGGAGGACAAAGTGTTCCTGTGAAGTTGTGTAAACAGTTCTCCTTGGTATTCATTTGATTAGCCGATGGAATTCCTGCAGTAGAATCGATCGACAGGCACACGATCAGACCCGAGCACGCCCTTCACATCGCATCATAAAAACATGCACAGGGCAAGATCCTTGTGAGCGATAGCGAGTAGGAGAAAAAGGGACATGTACAGCAACACGGATAGATGTTCAGGCTTCACAGGACGAGCGGAATATGCCAAAAAGAGCGCAAGCAAATCCACCCTACCATCATATAGATAGACAGATTCCCGGACCAACATCGCAAATCCACCATCACATCATATGACGATATATAATAGATAGATAGGGATTACCAGAGACCGAGAAAACTCTCATACAGGAGCCGAGAAGAAGATTCTTACAGGCTACAGAAAGTCCTGTGTCTTCAATGAAATGTACAACAACAGCACGAGCGTTGACACACCTGACATCGTATACCAACACCTTGACGTGCCCCTTCCCTTCCCTTACCTTCCCTCCCTCTCCCCCCCCCCCCAAAAATACTCGTTCACGATCGACAAGAACATCGCCACTTCCGGCCGAAGAAACCATCGCCACGATTCTTATTGCATCTTCTTTCTTCAACACTACCACCATCGTTGGCTATCATCCAATGCAGTGTGACCAGCACGATTCTTATTGCATCTTCTTTCTTCAAACACTACCACCAACGTTGGCTATCATCCAATGCAGTGTGACCGAGTCCCCCGCCCTGATAGACAAGCAGGTCACACAGCGAACAGGAGACGGTGGCCCGGCGGCCTCACGGCGACCCAGCCCCGTCGTTGGTCCCGCTGCGGCCTGACGTCGACTCAGCCCCGTCGTTGGTCCCGCTGCGGCCTGACGGCGACCCAGCCCCGTCGTTGGTCCCGCTGCGGCCTGACGGCGACCCAGCCCCGTTCTTGGTCCCCCTGAAACCAACCACCACCCAATGAGTCATCATCATCACCCTTCCTTCATCGAACCCTGCGGCTTCCATACGGACCTCTCTCTGCCACCGGTGGTGGTCCCGGAAACCGCCACCCTGCTGAATCAAAACCACCCACCCTCCCTCCCTCGAGGATCTCTCTTCGCCAGCAACAACCAGGTCACATCGAAGAGAGGACACATGGCCCGGCGGGCGGCCTGACGGCGACCCAGCCCGTCTGCTGATTGCTCATCAAACACCATAAACATCTCCCTGTCCGCCGCCAGCCCCAACCCCAACCCCGACCCCAACCACAGCGCCATAAATAGCCGCGGTAGGTGATAGATGATCAGGAAAGGAAAAAGAACGAATCGCGAACGCTATCCTACGCGGTGCGATCGAGCTGAGCGAACTCTACGCCGGGTGGCAGTCTACCTTACACGCCGATACGCCGCACAGGACAAAAACCTCCTCCGAGACCGGGTTCTATGACCGTGCGGGAAAAAAGCACACCTCGCCGGCTTTTCGAGGAAACGCGCCGACGAATTCAAACGCCAGTTCCAACACATTACAAATTAATCTCGATGCCTGCCTGTGGGCGTGATTAGAGCCGGACGATTCGTGCTAACGGCTTCAGACGGAATGGTCGCGTCGCGACAGTGAGGAGGATGTTTTGGGGGCCGAAAACGCCAGAAACTGGTTACAGCTCCTTCCTGCTTGCGCTGTCGAGCAGAGGCAAGTCAGAAGGACGAGACGAAGCTGGCGATGGCGAGCGGCATGAGGAGAAGCTCAGTCATCACCTAGCTGTCCTAGTTTCACCGCGCCATAAATATCGGAAACGGAGCTTAAAACCGCTCAGCGGAAAAGGGATGATGCATGACCCGACCAAGAACCAAAAAAAGACTGAGAAAAAACAGACAATCAAAAAGAAAAAACAACAAAGCTTAACAAAAATTGGACCCAACAGTATAATAAGTATTGCCACCTCTCCTAGGACGAAGTAGATGCTCCGACCCCCGTCCACCACCTCCAATCCTCCCCCTCGCCCCCCCCCCTCGCCCACCTACAATCCCCTCACTCACACCCCGAGAGCCCAGACGCAGCACCTCCCGCGGTTTTCGTTGCATTGCACGTCTTCAACGCTGGCTTCAAACACACTACCGCTTGTTCGGACGCGCACATACATACACACTACCACCAGTGTCACTGGAGCGGAGGGTCGTCTTCACCCAGATCGTCCCAAAGAATTATAAGGACAAACTCGCACTAAAGAATGATAATTTTAAGGACAACATCACACTACGTCGTTCGCATTATTGGTCCGAGAGCACCCGCAGCATAGCAGAATCATCAACGGAAGACCGTTCTCGGATCTCTCTCTCTCGACATCCCCCTCTGATCTCTCCACATCCCCTGCTCTTGCTAACCACCAGCTAGCGTCTTCTCAAAGAACGGCGAGAGCACACGCATGGCTCAGCGCTGTTCGCCCGCGAACCTTAACCGACGTTTGCCACACACAATCGACACCATCATCACCATCATCATCATCATCACCATCTACATTTCCGTCACCTCCCTGGAGGCCATTGGTCTTGCCCATTACCAGTCTTAACATAATCCCTCCACCGTACAGAATCGCCTGACGACAGGACACGTCGAGTCGCGGCGGTTTCAAACTGGCAAACTGCTCTCCGACACCTTCTTGCCTTCACCCACTACGAAAGAACAGTATCCTTCTGCTCCAGTGAGATCTAGAGGCGGCCCCCAGTCCTTCGAACGCGATAGGGCTAAAAAATAATAATAATCTCCGACCTCCACTGCCCCAAGAAGACTGTCGTTGAAGGGCATCAAAAACACCCACAAGGAAACGATCGCCTGCAAACGCTTGGCAACACGAACTCGCTTCGTAGGGCGCAAGAACTCCGGAGGAGAAACAGGAACGGAAGAAAAAACGGGAGAGGGGGAACACGCAAATCCGTCGAAAGCATCTTTGAGAACGCCATTGGGCGGGAGGAAACCCAAGACGCCCTAACAGCCTTTGCAGCGCCTCTTTCAGCAGTTCCTCGTCTGTCTGGATCATATCTGGCATCACCTCTCCCGTGTGGTGTGAGCATTCTACCTTCCGCTGCTCCTCAAGGAGATCGACAGCAGCTATTTGCGCTGCTGCATCCCTGAACATCGAGTTTAGAGCTCATTCCCGTGCCGTCTGTCGTCCACACCCGATGTTAGATGCAAAATCAGTCACAGTTCGTTTAAGGACGACGGTGGAGGGGATCCGCCACTCCCTATCCCCACTTCCCACCTTCTCAAAGCCACGCTATGACGAAGGTTGTTAAATACCTGGCATCCCATACAAGGACTCTCGGAGGAGACCTTGGCAAGCAGTACAATCCGAAACGGTCGAAAGATCCAGTCTGTGCAACAACATGCGCCAGCTGCATGTCCACCAAGACAGATTCGTCCCGAGCACTCCGTCCAAGGCGAGCGAAAACACACAGGATGTGAGAGAAACCACAGGGTCACAATCCACCCAGCAAACGAAATAGACTCCACCTCACAACCCCACTAATGCAACTTTAAAAAATCCAAGCATCGTCCACCGTATACACACTCGCTCCCTCCACCTCACCCCCTTGTCCAGCAGCAGCGAGTGGCTCCCACTCGAGCAGCACGCGAGTTCAAATCCGGTTCGGTTCCAGGAAGGTCATACGTACACGATGTGAAGGATCATCTCCGACGACTAAAGATGTGTATCAACTCCCACGAGGACAAATGAGCCTACCCACTCTCCACCCGCGACGCTTCCGTGGCACTATCATCTTCAGTCGGATGGGCTTAAAATCATCTTCAGGTAGATCCGACGTCATGCAGACAGAGCACATCCTGCCGTATTTCTCCCGCCCCTGCTTCCTGCCTTCCATCAGGTCCAGCCGCGCCTCGTCACCGACTCCACCTCCCTCTCGAGCATGGCATCCAACCTCCTTTCCCTTCTCACAGATCCCTCCTCCCTCTTTTCTCCAGTCGGATGCCGCGGGCATGTCTCCACATGATGCCAAGACGACGGCACCCGATCGCCCGGCGAGAAGAGACCACATGTCAAAGCATTATTTAACCAATTCAGTACTCAGGAGTCCTGGTGTACACAGCAGGCAAAAGGATCATTCAAGGCTGCCCGTGGTTTCACCCAATGCCGAGAATCTGCGCTAGCAGCTAGTCCAAAAGGTCGGTATCTCAGGGACGGGGAGAAGTCGGCAAACTAATAAAAAATTCGGATATTGACAGTGCACATACACGTGGCGACGATCGGCCTCTACTTTTAAGCAACACAAACAAAAATCTATAACGTGATTCCCTCAAGCCTTCACTTCCTCATCTACCCTTCTTTTCCTTAAACCCCCTCCTCCCCCCCTACCCTTCCTCCCCCACTCCCTCACCCCCCCTACTCCCTTCTCATTATGCGGCTCTTCCCCTCGTCACCCGCATTTTTTCACCTCATCACTCGCACTCCTTCCGTCTGTCTCCCATGCCGCGCTTCGCTTCAAATTACCTTCGTTCACTCCCGCCCACTCCCTCCGCCATACCCTCCCTCCCCCAAGCATGCCGCCACCCTGTCCTCACTCCCTTATACCCGTCTCTCCCCCGTGGCCCCCCACTTTGCCGATCGTCATTGCCCCGTTGTATGAGCGAGCTACTCGTCCGCAACCCCGCGTGCATATCCACACCGTCAATAGTCCATAGCATCTCAAGAACCTCCTTGGCACGTCCCCAAGATCGACGGCCGAGAGTGCGATCGACTACGCACGCAGTTTCTTATCACAACGTATGCGCGGATACCCGAACACTCCCTCATCCACCACACGACGCGCGCTTGAACAAGTAACCGCCGTTAACCTCTACAGCTGCGCACCGACTTCGTTCCAAGATCTACCCACATTGGGCCTGCCGCCTGCTCATCACGACATGCACTTTTCCAGTAACAATAGACAAGAAGGTCGAGTCACCTAGCACTTCACAACATAAGTCATCGTCAATAAACATCGAGACGTCGTAGGGACCTCCCGCCAAAAGCCTCCGCTGCCGAGCCCTCGCCATCAACAACACCACAGTAAATATTTCCGGCATCAGTTGGTACAGAGACCACGTCCGCCGGCAATGCAAAAATCCACCCCATCCGATTAAGTTAATCCTTGCTCTACAAGCACACGCAGCGAGACCATCCACTCTACAATTTCGACACAATCCCGTCACTCTCTCTCTCTCTCTCTCTCACATGCTGACCCACACCCCCCGCGTTTGTACCTCCTCGCCTCCCTCGCTTCCAAAGAGAAGAATGAAATGCCGTACATCTCATCTGCGAAAGAATAAAATAAAACGACCTACGACGGACATAACACCCCCCCCCCGATTCACTCCTCCTTCCAGATCTTCCCTGTCACGCGAAGCTTCAGCTCTTTCTTGTCCCCCCCCGAGAAGAAAAGAGCGATATTCCGCTGAATGATCAGTCCATCACAGCTATCCCGCACCTTCCTATGGCTGTCCCTAATGCTCCTGGGAACCCCTTGCCAAGTCAGCTTACGTCCATTTGCCCCAACTTCCAGGCTATAGCTGTAGTTCTTCGCGTCCTCTTCGCTTCCCATGAACCTCAAGAACGCCATGTACACCGGCGCCACTCCTAACTGGAACGCCTCGAAGTGCAGACAAAAGTGCTGCCCGAAACAGCTGAACACTGTCAGCATCCACGTTGCGTTCTCCACCTCCGACGGATTCGACTTGACGTACCTGTGATTGAACGTTGACCCGCTGTGCATATCCACCTTGTGATCATCTCGCAGATGTGCGACGAGGAACGGAATGTCGCCCGTCACAGAGCACTCCGACCCCGCGTATGGGCAGTTGTACGGCCGGAAGTTGCATCCCGCTTCATGCCTTAACTTGCTGTAATAGGGGAGCGTGTGAGTGCATCCCAAACTCATATACCTGCAGGGCAACTCCAACGACTCCGCCACTTTTTCCAGAGCTAAGCATCGAATATTCCCCAATTCGTACCGACAAGTCGGGCACCGATTATGGACGCGCATCTTGCAGTGCGAGCACAACGTGTGGCCGTTTGGACACTGATGAAGAACAGGACACATAACACGGGCATAACAACGCAAACACCAACCGCCGGTCAAATCGACGATGTCACCGCCAAGTCTCATCGTCATACAGCAATCTTAACCGCATAAGGTGTGACCATTCGGACACCGATGAAAAACAGACATACTAGTAAAACGGGAAAGAAATGCAACCGCCAGGCAAATCGATGACGACGACCTCATCTTTTTTCGATCTCGTCGTCATGTACTGCCAACCACAAGATCCACAAGGAAAAAGAATATCCTTCACGTGCACTTGAATGGATCCATGCCTTATTGCAACATTGATTGAATCGAAACGCAGTGCCATCTATGACGCCGAGCAACGGGACAGGACAGACTCTTCCGAGCAAGAACGAAATGCGAAGAAGATCGCCAAATGTCTAGGAGGACAAAGACAGAAATACAACGCCAGCATTTTGACGGGATAACGCTCCGACCGACCTATTGAGGAGACGAAGAAAGAAAACCTACCTGTACCTGGAAGATCTGAATCGCAGATGCCTCAGGGAAACAAGGAACGAAAGGCTTTTAAGATCTGAGATCGCAGATGCCTCAAAGAAACCAAGGGAGGGTCGGACGTATAAACGGGAGATGCAGGCCGCAAGACAATGCAGGGGCAACAGCAGAGAGAACAGTCGAAAGGAGCAGACCAAGTGAGCGAGGACACCAGAAACAACAGATGCATACACGCCTGGACACAGGCCACCAGCTAGACAAGATGGCTAGTTAGACTTGAAAACACATACACCAGGGAGCCCAGGACTGACCAACAGGGAGAGAAGGAACACCAAAACATCGACGAGGCACCCATCGAGGGGAAGAAAACGAAACTCCCCACCGGCGGGAGCCGACGTGATCCCGTCGTGCACCAGGCATTCAAGGAAAGCACGCAATGGGGGAAACATAGGTGCCGACGGGATGCGCCCACTCTGAAGCGGCAAAGAGTCAGGCAACGACGAGTGTGGAGACGAGAAGACAGCGACAACACAAGGGAGGAGGGAAAGGAACAAATCAGGGGATAGCAGAACAGAAGCACGTGTTGAGGTAAAATGCGCCGACTGGAAGGAGGAACGGGTCCATGAGACGGGGCCGCGCGTGCGCGAGACAGAAAGCACGCACGTGCCGCAGGGAGAGGGGCACGCGCTGGTGGAGAGAATCGTTTGTCTGCAGGACGAAGACCAATCAGAGAGCCGGCAATGGCGGAACGGCCAGCGGAAGAATCAAGAGAATCAGACAAAGACGCAAGAACGCCTGTCCCAAGAACAGGAAGAAGGCGGACGTGTGGTAGACACTGAGGGCCCAAAAAAAGACCGGAATTACAAAACGGGAAAACGGAAGACACCCGAGCAGGGGATCAAGGACGGGTCGACGAAAAGAAACGAAAAACCGCCCGCACGGAGAGACGCATGATTCATTCGTCGATCACCGACCTCACTTGAGGTTGCGTCAAGGAGAGAAAAGGTTCATGGACGAGCACCCAGCCACATCATCCAATCTCTTCCAAGCTTCGAGTCCCTCCCAACCCTCCGTCATAGCTACGCAGTTAGGAACATTACGATGCGTCCCTACAACTTACCGTAATAATTATCCCTCCCTCTTCCTAGGTGCACGCCCATCAAACAGCAATCGCAATAGTCGGCCAAACACGGCCACGTGCCATCATCATAATCGCTGCGCATCAGGCACGTGATAGCACAAGGACCGGCACGACGCATCAAACAGCAATCGCAATAGTCGGCCAAACACGGCCACGTGCCATCATCAGTGTCGCTGCGCATTAGGCACGTGATAGCACGAGGACCGGCACGATGCATCAAACAGCAATCGCAATAGTCGGCCAACACGGCCACGTGCCATCATCATTATCGCTGCGCATCAGGCACGTGATAGCACGAGGACCAGCACGACGCACGGTAATGGACAAAACGAGTCTACCTTTTCGACAAGTCGGACGACGTACGAGCAATACTGGGAGAGAAGACGTACACATATTTAAGATTGAATTAAGGAGGCGCCGTTAGACTTGGCAGATTGTCGGGCGACTGTATCATAAACCACATGACTTCCAGAGGATACAATACGTCCGGTCCATTCGTGAGGAATATGCGATCCATCATCGGGCCCCACTTCCACCTCTCTCACGTGTGCAACACAAAGCCAGGTGGCGATCCATCGTGTCCTCTTTCCTTATGGATATGATATCGACGCAATGACGTCGATCGAGAGGACTAAGAAATCCAATAAAACGCGAACATTCGATAGCTTGCTCAAAAGCGGTGACATCGACTCGAACCAAGAATGAAAACGCCATCCAGAAAAAAATAACCTAACGACGGACGTCCAGAACAGGCGCCAGCTTAAAGGCGTAAAACAAGAATACGCAATGAAGCACGCAATGAAAGAAAATGATGCGACCACTCTTTCATTCCACCAACTATGTCCCGCCGGCCTCTATTCAACAATCTTTTCACGACCAGCTCGATTTAGACGTCACACACACACACACGCACACACGCACACACACACACACACACGTATATTTATCTATGATAATATATACATCTGAACGCACACACACACACACACGTATATTTATCTATGATAATATATACATCTGAACAATGTATATATACAGTAGTATGGCAATATACATGAACATACATATATATTGTCACTGTGAATCGGAGCGCTAAGGCGGAAAAAGACAACAAGAAAAAGAAAAGTAAGAAGGAAAGCCCCACCTGTTCATCACCTAGGAAGAGAGGGAAAGGAGGACGACGACAAATGAGGGGCTTTGACACACTGTTTCGTCGATAGATAGGTAGTTAGAGGAATAGACATATCTATCTATAGAAAGATAAATGAACTGACAGAGCATATTTGTAGATCGGGTTACCCACGACCGTACGATGGCGCAAGACCTCGATATATAGTTAAAGTTGTACAGAGATAAATGGACTTGCGAAAGGCAATTTTTAGACAGATTCTTGCCGGAAAAAATCGTACCTGGTGGATCGGCGGAAACATGGAGTTGGTACAAACAGGACATTCCAAGAGCTCATGAACGCTGCTGGTCGGCCCAACCGCCTTCCCTCTGCCGACTACCACCGGCGCCTGCGGCTGTTCGCCCCCTTCAGTCGTCTGAAGATCCTCCGTCACAGTTACGGTCCCTGCCACAGGGGCAGCCACACACGCCTTCGCCATCACTGCTTAGCGATCGGAGTCGTTCGTTTAAAGCCTGCGCAGACTGTTCTGCTCTTGCGTGTCGCCTACACAAGAAGACCAGACAGCCTCTCGTCTCTCTCAAGCGTCGACCTACGATAACGAGTTTGAATCAGATTCTCATTGACTTAAATCGATCAATCAATCGGCATCAAACAGACGCTCACGATCCACCACGACCCCGCCCGACCAACCTCCCATACATAAATCGACCGTACAACAATCACGCGCGTAAATGCTCGCCCGTTGTTCGAAAGCCTTCGTTCTGATGCCTGCCCCGCTTCTCCTTGCACGACCAATGGGCAATTTCCTTCACCACCATTGATGATGAGGAACGTCGAAGTCTAGCGCACAAGATACGCCTCCGCACCGATCAGATTCTGCTGCCGACTTCCAGGATGCCCAACGAACGGGGTGGGCAGTGCTCCCCTAGTCAATCAGTATGGTTATACCCCGGACGATCGCTTCCCGGTACAACTTTGGCGGACTTCTGAGAGCAGCTCTACAATCGCATGTTCATATCGGTCTCTCGCTGTTCACAACCAATTAGGCGACTTTCGGATTAACTGCCGAAAACTCTGCTTCCTCTCCGATGTGGCCAGCTTCTTCTTTTGTCCTGCACACCTCCCTCTCTTTTTATCATATAATTGGGAGTTAACTCCGATCCCTGTTATTGCATTACTCTCCCGTGTCTCCCTCTCCCTCAGCGTCCCTCCCTTTCTTGCGGATCTCTCCTTTGGTCAGTAGCGCCTCCGTGCGGCAGAAACTTCCCAGAACCCAGGACCGAGTCGTTCAAATATCCCACAGAATAATGATCATAATAGCAGAGCAGAGAAACTGGTCATTCAGACACTTACCCCGCTTGTCACTCCTATCGTCCACCCTCTTAATCGCATATCTCCGTCCCCACACACGTTTCCAAGGAAACCCTTCAAGCCATTTAACCCGGCAGGCTACAGAACGCCAAACATCTCTCGAGAAGAACCTCAGGGCGATAGACACACGGGAGACATCGACACCTTACACCAGAGGCGAGAACTCACTTTACCAGCTTTTCGCCTCCAAAGCTTAAAAATCATGCCTTCCTCTCTCTCTCTCTCTCTCTCTCTCTCTCTCTCTCTCTCTCTCTCTCTCTCTCTCTCTCTCTTTGGTGGTTTACGCCGGCGTATGGCGGGTTGCTGCGTGGCAAGACATACAGGTACAGGACGGCATGACCGTGACAGCTGCTTAGACGCCCGCCCCTGCACAATCAGAATCTGGAAGATGCTCAGCCTCGACCACAACTCAAAACGTAGGCACTTCAGACTGCAAAGGGCACAACAACACACGCGTCCCGATGGCCATATAGCGAAGATGAAGAAGAACGAGGAACTGAGAGAGAACGACAATAGAGTTCTTCTCTACTACGAACGATGTGACAAAGGCCTTGATCGAACTCTCATGGAAATCGGACTCACGCGCATTAGCCCCCAACGGTATGCGCTAAAAACTGAGTGAGAAGAGGTTTTTAATGTAGAGGAGTCATCGACCGTTCGCCTGTATCTGCTCTGCACCGTCGACGTGGGAGTAGCCGGTGATGACCAACTGTTGCCTACCTGGCTTCTTCCGGCGCAGGCACCATCCCCACCTTCTTTTAACAAAGCGACATGCTTCCTATCTCTCTCGCTCTTCTCCTCTGTCTACTACCTCTTTCGCCGATCTGGCTATGTCCGTAATCGAGAGCCCGCGATGCCTAAATGAAGGAATGACATCTTCTGCCAATTCAGTGCCCAGGGGACAGGCTTCCAAAACGTCGAAGACGCGCGGGTCTGAATTCACTGCCACGCGCCCGGTCCCGCCTACTTCATTCACTCCCAGGGCGGCAGGAGCCGGCCTTGGCTACCAGTAGGCTATCAGGCGGGCGCCCGCACGGCGGGTACGATGGACGGCAGCTGCGCGGGTTACCGAGCTACCAAACAAGCCTTGGCGAGGGTTGTCCCGACCAGGCACACCGCCCCGCGCGGAAGGCTAGCTGACGAGCGGGTGCGCGCGCGCTCGAGCTGGCAAAGGGCGGGTTAGCAACGGCACCACGATTTGAAGAAACCTTGTGCGCAGTCCAGTCTGCTGCCGCCTGCGGGCGCCCCTTCTGCCTCTCCCGCACCACTTGCCAAACGCCAACATTCTCAATGAATCTGAACGGCCAATTGGCCACGTACGTTCAGAATGTTGGCGTTTGGCGAGTGGTGCGGCCAGGGCCTGCATCGTAGTTATCCGAGCTCTCTCGAGATCGGACGAGCCGCGCTTTCCACTGTTCCATCACAGAGCTGCAGGTCAGCAGCTCAGAGCCGCGCAGCACCGAACCACTCCCGCACCGCCTCCGCCCTGCCATTTGCAAAAGAGGAAACGCCTCTCCCGCCGCGCAGTTCTCACACAGCTCCAAAAAGGAAACTGCAAGAGCAAATGGCAACTGCAACCACTGGGAGTGGTGGTCAGGGCTCCATCGCCCGCCAAACGAAAACGATGTGGGAGACCTAACGTGGCCGTAGATCTCCCCCATCGACGGTTCGTGACAGTTTCTCTGAAGCACAGCGAGGCAACACCGTTACGGCTTCCGCTTGAAGCAGTGGCTGCTTCGGCTGACACTACATTTCTCTGCATTTGCGAGGTTCGAGGGCATGCTCACATTACCCCCGCCGTTCCCCTCTTTCCAACTAACTTTGGTCGGGAGCGCGGAACACGAATCAATGTGATCCTCCCAAACCACTTCCTTCACCCCTCAAATGTCAACTGCCCGCCTAACAGGGGGTTGGAACAATGTTCGGGCACCGCTATTCTAATCTTCTCTGTATAGCTCCAATTTTAACGGATGTCCCGAGGGACATTGGGGCACCGCTATGGGTGGGTCCCAAACACCTTTTTTTCCCAGGAGGATTATCTTCCGAAATCGACAAACGGTGCACTCGGGAGGGACTGGGTGAGCTGCCACTGGGCGGCCTACCGGTGCAGGTCCACTACCTCATCCATACCGCCGCCATAGCCAACGGAGGTCAAGAGACTCTTTTGGCCACCAATTCGAAGGGTAGTCTTTTCAAGGTAGCCCATTAGCCCCTGCCTGTAGTGTTTCAATTCTGTTCTCTGCTAGGTCACAGTGATGTGAGAACACCGCTTGACCCAAGACGCGTGACCTCAAGCGGCATGACCTCCGGTGTGCTCTATCAGCTGTGGTAAATCGCGGCGGTGAGTTTTGGCCGAAATCCTCGACAGGAATCTTCAATGCTAAATTTCGGCGGTAAACTGTGGCGGTAAGTTCCGACGGCAAATTTCAGCGGTAACAGTTTAGTCGTTTGCATATATGCTTGGGAATCAATCCATGGCTGAGATGGACAAGGATGGGAGGGAAAGATCCCCTCGTCACCCAAGTTTTGGGTTATGGAAGACCGAGTACGACACTCCTTAGGCCAAGGCGATGATGAGGGAGTATTACAGTTGGCGTTGTTGTACCAAATACCCTTACAACGGTATTTGGCGTTGTCGTAGCAAACACCCTTACAAGGGTATTTGCCGTCCTTTGTAAAGGTCGCACTGGGAGCGTTCTTGATCAACGTAAACGCGCCGATAGGACAAATCCCGTTAGGGCGCTCACCTTGGCAACCTCATTACCGGCGAAAGTCCGACCAAAAATGCAAACGAATTAAAGAGTGTGTGGAACACGCATTATTGCGTTGCACTCTGAGGGGGTCGTTTAGTCATCAGCGGTACCAGGGCGGCGGAAGGTATCAAAGGCCATAGGGTCCGGTTACCTTCGCTAGAGTTTTCAATTTGGTTATATTTTTCTTTTATGTTATAAAGACTAACCTCACTCCACGAACCTGCTCCGCCTTTAGCGAGACACGTCACAAATAGGATAAAAACTTTACCTTGCGCACATGTGAGAGGTTTATGATTGGACGACGCGTCGCAAGGCGCGGCGTTAGCAATCCTAGTATAAGAGAAAGTCGAAATGTCGGCAAAATATGTCGAGCACCTGACGATCAGGATACCAGAAAACTACGATCCTAAACACGGGCGACGGCGTGGCGTTTTCTGACGGCCAGGAGGTTGGCCGATAGGCCAAGGCGAAGACCTGGTTTGTGCAGGTAGGACCAATTACGGTCCTGTGACTATTCATATGCAGGGTCATGCCTACCTAACTCAGGTTTGGGCTTAGCCCTATTGGTTACGGTACTGGACTTTCAGGCGACAGGTTTGGGGTTCGAGGACAGCAAGCGTCAATGGAGCAAAGGAGCACGACCGGCAGAGACTGAGGGGTCGAGGGTCTTAAGAGACTATCCCCCTTGCTTTTGCCAAATGGGCCCAAGCTTGTGTTCGACTAGTAAGACCAAGAGGGCGTTGGCAGATCCTTGTCCTCTTCAATTCTTCTATTTATAATTTATTGATTTATTTTTATTTTTTTTCATTTTCCCGTCTGTTGACCAGGCCGAAAACTTGCTTCGGGACCGACATCGAAGAAGTACCGCAAGGGAAAGACCAAAAAAAACTTTGGAAAGAAAGTTCAAGAGTGTTTGAAGTTGCTGACCGAGGAGCGGATGGAGGCAAATCGTGCACCCTCACCTAAACAGGGGTGGACGGCGACTTTGTCGCCACCTTCGTTGACCTTGAACGAAGGGATGAGTGTCAATATGGGCTGCAGTAACCAGCATTACAGAGGGGAGCTATTAGAACCCTCACGGGTGGTTATCCCGGCAGTCAAGAACCTTCAGCACGTGACTCTTTTTATGGACCTGTTCGGGTTCCAGCATGTTCCAGACGGCGGATGCTGGCAAAAATCCTCTATCCTACCGTCATGAAGCACGGTCCGAGGGAATTCAGCATGGACGCAAGCGGTGGGAGCTTACCCCACGAAGGGGCAGGAACCTGAGTGGTGGGACCAACACCTGCGAGTACGTCATCCGCCAACCACGAATTGTTGTAAGAAGTGTGAGTGGAAACAAGCGTGTGGGACCAACACCCGTAGGCCAAGCTCAGTTGGTACACCTGCAAGTTGTTGAAAAACAGTCTTATGGGATTAGTGTCACTGGACCTAGCTCAGTTGGTACACCCGCAGACTGATGAAAAACAGTCATGTGGGATTAGTGTCACTGGGCCTGGCTCAGTTGGTATACCTGCAGGCTGATGAAAACAATCATGTGGGATTAGTGTCACTGGGCCTAACTCAGATTGTACACCCATAAACTTTTGAAGTACAGGCCTGTGTTCGAACTCTACCGGAAGCAGATGAGTAGAATCTTAAAATTTTAAATTACCTAAGGTTAACCTGTTCGATGGGGCTACATCCAGGTTGCTGCTACGGTCAGATATATTTAGGGAAGATATTAGTGCTAGTACGCCCCGTGTGATGTAGAGAGCCGTTGAGTAGTTGATTCCCTTCGAAGTGTTTGGGAGCGATACTGACGCGCAAAACGTTCCTCGGACGTGAGTGTAAGGCCGAAAGATTAATCGGACCGCCTGGTACCTGGTTCCCTACGAACTCACTTGCAACTCGCTTCCTCGGACGTGAGTGTAGGGCCAAAAGATTCATCGGACCACCTGGTACCTGGTTCCCTACGAGCTGGCTTGCAACGCGCTTCCTCGGACGTGTCAGTGAGTATAGGGTCGGTAGCCTGTTCCATCCAAAGTTTCCCTTATGTGGCCAAAATTGTCGGACTGCATCCGGCTGGGTTGTGTTAAAGCGATATCGAAGTGGGTTGCGCTATAAGGGTTGCACTAGAGTGCTGTCGAAAGGGGTTGCGCGAGAATGTTGTCAAAGAACACGAAGCACTGCGCTAAGTGTCAACGGAGGAAAGGAGGCGATGTTGGAATCAAGGAAGAAGGTGAGGCGGCGGTAAAGGCGAGAGAAAAAAAAAATCGAACAAGTGAGGGAAAACACGTGAACCTGGTCGGGATCAAGTCCACATACACGAAGATGAAAGAAACAGAAAAGTGACGAATGAGGAGGAGAAAATGAGTATGGCGGAAGAAAAAAAAATCGTAACTTA